CATAGCCTGGACTGGATTCTGTAGAAGTACAGAAGTCAACACCAATGATGTCGAGAAGGTGAACTTGGAAATTTCTCTGGAGGTATGGGAGATAATCTTGAAGTAATAATAATAATAATAATAATAATATAATATGATAAGTTACACTTGAATTGTGTAGTGTTCATCTATAAGTGTTTAATGTTAATCAAGAAAGTGCAGCTCTTTGCAACCTTAAAAGACAAACTGTAAAAAAAATATATTGTGAAAAGTTAGTGTGCTGCATTTAAAATCACACTTCAGTAAAAGTAAAGATGCAGATTTACGTGTCTAGTCTTGCCTGCATATTTATAATCTCTTTTAAAAAAAAACATTTTAACGGACACTGTGTGGAAGCTATGTTAAAGGATGCATGTGGAGTCAATATCACCTTGACCACTGATTTTTAGCTCCTTTAACATTTATTTTTGTCGTTCAGCTTCCTGAGAAGACTTTCCTTTTCAACTGGACTCCAAATAAGGTAAGCAGTAAGTGCTTAGATAGTTATCCTTGACATGCGTTTCCTCTGTATCGCGCCTCCATTTCAACCATGGCGACCTCTCACACATGCAGTAGCGGTTTTTGAAACGGGCGACGTCATGCCAGCGCATATCGGGAATGTCGTAGGCACCGATTGGTTTTCTATCACCCATTTGCTGGGAGTAAGGGCACCCTCCGTTTGCGAGGTGCGCCTGCTGCTTGCTGCACAGAGAGGAGAAGGCGTGATCCTCGGGTTGGGGGGTGGGTGTTCATACTGGAGTGTAAAATTAAACCCAATGGAAGATGGACAAGAAAAGTTCAAAGCCATCCGGTGCTCAGTTTAGAAAAAAGAGAAAAGAAACGAGCAAAAGATACGGATAAGAAGATGTGTCATTGGATAATGGCAGGTCATCCTGAAACAATCAGAATACTTTATTAATCCCTAAGGAAATTATGTGGGTTATAGTTGCTCCAAGAAGAAATGGTAAAAATGGTAACAGTAACAGACTAAACTCCAAACAATACCTTATGTTACAGATTTTACACATTTAAGAAATAACACTAACATATAAAAATGCACAAACATTTGGTCCACAGCATGCAAGGTACTACTGTTCTTTTTTTAGCATGCACTGGTTTTTTCTTACCGGTATGTGAAAAACAGGATGTGGAGACCTGAAGTAATTTTTTTTTCCCCTACTGCTTTCACTGATTACTAATTCTTTCCCCTTTGTCCGTTTTTTTGCTCTATTGTCTAAAGGTGAGCAAAGATGCCCAACGGATTTACTTTACCAAATGGACCACCCCAGCCTTGCCATAATGGTCTATTTGATTCAGCTTTAATTGTTTATTTTATTTTTTATTTTCACTTGCTAAATATGGGACAGACTTGACTGAGGAAAAGAAAGGGGAGAAAGAAAGAGGGAAAGAAAAACAGCGAAGAAGAGGGACGGGGATAAAGGGCAAAAAACAACAAAATAAGCAGACAAAAAATACATATATCAATCACCTGGATCACCTGTTGAGAAAGAAAAAAGAAAATAAGAAGAAGAAAAAGAGAGTAATAGAATAAACAACATCACGATGATCTATGGGAATATAACAGTAAATACTAACTATTAAACACGATTGTGCAGCACGTAAGATCGACACAGCATGCATTTATTGACATGAATGTTAATTATTGCTGCCTAGCAATGGTAGTGACTCTGAAAACGGAGTGAATGAGAATCGATAAGGAATTTTATTGGTGGGCGATCTCGATGATGGGATTGGATTTACTAAAGTCTTATCAATTCTTATCCTTTGTGAGGAAATCAAACTGTAACTGAGGTGCAGAGGTAAATTAGAATAGAACAGTCCTTTAGTGTCATTATACATGGACAGTGAATATTCTATGACTTAGTATATTAAATCCAATAAATATAAGTGTTTTTTGACTCTTACAGCATCTGATATTGAAGCTGAAGTTGATCTGTAATGAAATCCAAGTCATAATAGCCGCATGCCGTGCAGTGAAGACACACCTCGAAGAATTCATGGCTGAACTCAAAACCTCTTTCCATGTAAAGATGATCTTTGTCAACACAACCACGTTCAAGTGAGTTTAAGTAAATAAGTTTTGACTTAGCAGTTCAGTGATACGTGTTCACTTTGTGCATGTGTGTTACTGAAATATTTTCTTTTTTACTTATTTCCAGTTATACTAAATTACTCGTGCTACTTCACTTGAGCATTGGGAAGTGAAGGTTACACTTCCCTATGCTCAAGTGAACAATTAAAAGCATTGCCTAATATTTTGCACATATCTGTTTGTATCAAAACAGCTCTGACACTTTACGCCACAGCGATGAATCCTCTGGTTGTTTCCTGTGGTGTCCTGGATGCGGGCAGCTGCTCCTCTGGCTGCTGTTGGTTCTCTGGAGATCGGGCTTTCTTCGGAGCATCCTGCAAAAGCTCCATCAGATTTGGTGCACCTGGAGCCCACGTCAGCGCCTTGTGCTCTTTGTTGTGTTCCTCGTGCTGTTTCTGATTACTTTCTGTTGCTTCTTGGGGAATGCTGTCCTGCTGAGAGAGTGCAGCTGTCATGGGGGCATGTGCTGGTGTGCAGCAATCTTTAGATCTACAGTATGTGTCAAAGTAACGTTCACATGAATGTAGGATGGAAAGTTCCCCAGCAATGTCATTATTCACTTCAGTTTGAGACTAGTTATAACCACCATTATACATCCATCTGTTCAAATAAAACTCCTAAAACATTAATTGAGTTACTTGCCTTCATTTACTTTGCAATGTCTGCTGTGGTAATTTCTCTCCCGTTCATACAAATGAGTACTTGTGTTGCAAATGTTCCTGCTGGTGAAGGAGTGTCCTTTACATTATGGTAGCCATGTTCATCCTCCATTTTTTGTCCACCTGGACGCTTACTGTACTTTAAA